GTACTTACTCATGACGTATCATTCTTTTAATTTATTAAATTAGGTTATCTAAAAGTTAAGAGTTTTTATGCCCATGTTCATTAGCAGTATTGGTACATTTTCTTTTTCATGTGTTTGACTTTGGCTTTAACAGAAAGCTGGAAAATAGTTTCTTTGCTTCAGTTTTCTAGAAGAGGTTGTAGAGTTTATAGGTCCTTCATCCTTAAATACTAATAGAATTCCTCAGTAAAGCCATCTGAGCTTAGAGATGACTTTGTGGGAAGATTGTAAACTGCAGTTTACTTTTCCTAACAGAATTTTTCCATTATCTCAAATTGTTGAATTTGTTGCCATAGATTTTAATAATATTCCCTAATTCTTTAAATATTTGTGGAATCTACAGTGGTATCACTTTTACTTCTGTTTTATTTTTTAATGATTCTGTAGATGGAACCCCAGCCTTGTGGATGCTAAGCAAGAGTTTTGCCACTGAGCTAGACACTCAACCTCTTTTTATGTTTTTAATTTTGAGACAGAATCTTGCTAAGTGGCTAGGTTGGCCTTGAGCTTACAGTTCTCCTGTCTCATCCTCTCAGGTAGCTATGATTCCAGATATGGGCCACCATGCTTGGTTCAGAGTTTGCCTTTTGATGGGAAATTATAATCCATTGACATTTAAAGTAATTACTGATAAGGGAGATCTTTTTCCATTTTGCTATTTGTTTCTTATATTCCTATATCCTTTTTTTTTTTTTTTTTTTGGTCTTTTTGAGACAGGGTCTCACTATACAGTTCAGGCTGGTCTTGAGTTCACTTTATAGCCCAGGCTGGTCTCAAATTTGGAATGATCCTTCTGAATTTGGATTGATCCTCCTATCTCAGCTGAGTGCTGGGATTATAGGTGTGCACTACCATGTCCAATTCCTGTATCTTTTGAAAATCATCTTTTCCATTACTGCTTGCTTGTGGGGTGCTGGGAATTAACTCTTGTAATGCTAGGCAAGCACTCTGTGAGCTGTACCTCCAGCCTTAGGGAATTATTTTGATTCCTTCCTCATCCACAAGTTTACACTGAACTGTATTCCTCAGTCTTTTATTTTGTATTTTGAGATAGGATCACCAAGTCCTTAAAGTTGCCCAGGCTGTGCTTAAGTTTGCTATTTTGCCTCAGCCTCTCAGAGTTCTAGGATTATAGGTGTGTGCCATTCTGCTGGTGATTTTGCCTATTTTTTTTGACGGGGTTTCAGTTCTCAGTGTAGCTGAGGCTGGCTTTAAACTTACTCATGTAGCCCATAGTGGCCTGGAACTCATGGCAGAGTTCTGCTGCCTCAGCCTTCCAAGTGTTAGGACAGGTGTGTGCCACCATGCCGGGCAATTTTGCCTAATATTAATAAAATCATCCCTGCATTATTTTGATTAGAATTAGTGTGATACATGTATGCCTTCATTTTCAAAGTGGGTTTCCTAGGGGGCTGGGGATTTAGCTCAGCAAGCACCTGCCTTGCAAGCAGGCAGTCGTGAGTTCGATCCCCGGTACTGGAAAAAAGAAAAACAAACAAACAAAAAACAAAGTGGGTTTCCTGTAGGCAGATTATGGTTGGTTCTTGCTTTTTAAAAATTCAGTGTCTGATAATCACAAGGCCTTTAGTATTTAGACATTGTAATGTGGTTATTTCTATGTTTAATAGTCTACTACCTCATATTGGTATTGCATCTGTTGTTTCCTTTTTAAAAACTTTTCGTTTGAGTTGATTATTTTTTGATTCCAATTCATCTCCTTTTTAAGGCCTTACCAGGTATAATTTAGGTTGTTTTGTTTTCTTTTAGTGTGGGTAGTCTTTATCTTGTCACAGTCTGCCTTCAAGTAATATTCTATTTAATGTGTATTTTAAGAATCTAAACAGTTGTGAAGTAGGGTATCATCTTATTAAAAAGCTTTTTCAGGCTGAGGATTTAGCTCTGTGGCAGAACCTTCTATCTGGCAAATACTGAATCATGAGTTCGATTCCTAGTACCAAAAAAAGAAAAAATAAAATGAGTGAAAGAGCTTTTGCATAGCAAAAGAAAGCACCAACAGAGTGAAGACACAATCCACACAATGGGAAATATTTTTACCAGTTATTATTCAGACAAAAGACTAACAAAATATATGATAGAATATATATATAACAATATATAAAGAATTTTAAAAAATCAAAAACCCTGTGATTTAAAGACCCCATCAAAAAATGGGCATCTGAGACTAACAGGTACTTTTTCAGATGAAAAAGTAGAAAGGGCAAAAAAATATGTAAAAATGTTTAAGATCAGTGGTCATTTGAGAAATGCAAATTAAAACAGACTGAGATTCTGTCTCACGCTAGAAAGAATGACTGTTATCAAGAAATCAACCAACAACAAGGCTGCTGGGTCTGTGGGGAAAAAGGAACCCTTCTCCACTGTTGGTCGGAGTGCAGACTGGTGCAACCACTGGAAATCAGTGTGGCGATTCCTCAAAAAACTGAAAGTAGAGGTTTCATTCGACCCAGTTATTCTCCTTCTTGGTATCTTCCTGGAAGAATTAAAACATCAGACCACAGCGATATATGCACAGCATGTTTATAGTGACACAGTTTATAATAGCTGAATCTTGGAAACAACTCAAATGCCTGTCAACCAATAAATGGATAAAGATGTGGATTTTTTTTAATACAGTGGAGTACTTCTCTGCCATAAAGAAGAATAAGCTTGAGACATCTCTAGCTAAATGGATGCACCTTGAGATCATATTCTTCAGTGAAATCAGACATACATGTTCAAATACTGTATTGTTTCTCTGATGTGAGAAACCAAAAGTGAAAATATGGATCAAAATGTATAGTAGCCAGGTGTGGTGATGCATGCCTGAAATCCCAGCACTGAGGCAAGATGATTGTTGCATGTTTGGGACCAATCTGGGCTACAGAGTGAGTTCAAGGGCAGCCTGAACTGCATAGTGTGATCCTGCTTCAAAAAGATGAAAGAAAGAAACACCTAAATAACTGTGTACTTCTGTTTCTCTCATACCTACCTTTGAGCTGTTGGTTTTAATATTCTCTCATCACTGTTTTTAATGAATTTGATTATAAATTTATGTACATGTCTTTCTGTTTTGTGTACTTGGGATTTGCTAACATCTTGGATCTACACGGGTTCATAATTTAATTGACTATGGGAAATTGTTTACTATTTTAAGTACTTTTTTCCCTCTCTTGTCCCTTTTCCTTTGTGGATGGCATTGACACATAATGTTGCACAACCCACTGATTTTTTTTTTTTTTTTGTCATCTTTTTGAGACAGGGTCTTGCTGTGCAGTTTAGGCTGGCCTTGGGCTCACTTTGTAGCCCAGGCTGGTCTTGAACCTTGAACTTGAAACAATCCTCTTGCCTTAGCTTCCTGAGTGCTGTGCCACCATACCTGGCTTTTTTTTTTTTTCTTCCTGTTGCAGGGATTGAACTCACAACCTTGCACTTGCCAGGCAGACGCTTATGCCACTGAACTAAATACCTGGTCCCCCTTTTTTTTTTAATCCAGGTTTTCACTGTGTAGCTCAGACTGGCTTGGGTTCACTGTGTAGCCCAGGCTGGCCTCGAGTTTACCGTGTAGCCCAGGCTAGCCTTAAACTCTTCATGGTGATCCTTTTGTTTCAGGGCCCCCACCCAGTTCAGGAATTATAGGTGTACTCCATCGTGCCCAGCTAATATGTTGTTAATATTTGTCTTTTTTTCTATCTTGTTTTGAACAGTGGCTTATCTTCATGTTCACAGATTTTTAAAAAAATACCTGATTTGGGCCAGATGTGGTATCACACACTTGTAATCCCAGCGCTCAGGAGGCTAGGCAGGAGGATTGCTGAGAGTTCAAGGCTAGCTTGGGCTACAAAGTAAGTTCTAGGCAAGCTTGATCTGCACAGTGAAACCTTGTCTCAAAAAGACAAGAAAAAAGTTTGCTTACTTTGTCCGTTTCTATAACGTATATTAATTTAAAATTACATGATGTTTCTTTTGTAGAGGATTAAAATTAATGATTATTGGTAGCCATGCTTAATAATTTGAAAGTATTGTGTATGATCTTTCTGTGTACAGTTTACCGTATAAAATTATTTTCCTAAATTTACAGTTGATTCCTTTTTAAATTTTTTTAAATTTTAAAGATAGTAAAATCCAACCAAACATGACAGAACAAAGCCAGTCAAAACAATGCAGCAAAATTGTACAGAACTTCAAAGCAGAATACTAGGAAAACAACAACAACTACCATAGTATATCTTGTTGTCTTCACAGTAGTTGTCCATTTCATCAGGTATAGCAGTAACAAAACATCATAAAGCAAATCAAAACAGAATACTGAATAAAGCAAAAAAAAATCAGAAAAAAGCAAAATAGTGAAAACAATATTTGATTTCAAAGACAGGATATAAGAAAATCCCCTGTATTTGCTATATTGCATACTGTCATCCTCCCAAGAGATGCTCAGACCATTGGCCCAAGGCAGGCCTGCAAAATCAACCAAGCAATACAAGCATTTAGTTGCTTTATATACCTGAATTGCTATCAATTTAGCCTGTCTCCGGACCACTGGTTGCTTATGGTAAGGTGGGATCAGGGGCAGAGGGGACACACACAACATGGACCGTGTTTGATTCTCAGCCTGCGTGCTGGTAGGCTCATGGGAAGGACTGTCTGGTTTTTCTCTCCCTGGAACCCCTGCGGCTTGTATGGCTTGCCAGAAAGGCTGGCTGGTTGATTTCTTGGTTGGTTTCCTAAGTCCCAGCATGGCCGATTCTCAGGAGACTCTGGCTTTTCTCTCCTAGTTTATTCTTCTTAAATTCACATAGTTTAGAAATACATCTTTCAGTATTTAACAAAGTACTCAGTACGTTTTGATAATTATTGTTATAGTTATTAGATTATTAGAAAGCTAGATTTTTTTCTAATATTAAAACAGATATGAGAACACTGATGCCAATCTTAAACTACTCAATACTGATTTTCTTTTCTAGAATTCAGCATACAACTAAAATGACAACCTCCTGGAGTGATCGGTTACAGAATGCAGCAGATATGCCTGCAAATATGGATAAGCATGCCTTAAAAAAGTATCGGCGAGAAGCCTATCATCGGTAAGTATTTTGACTATTTAACCTTCAGAATAGCTTTTTTTTTTTTTTTTTTTTGGTACTGGGGATCGAAATCACGATCTCATGCTTGCCAGGCAGGCACTTCTGCCACAGAGCTAAATCCCCGTCCCCGAGAATGAAATTCTTAATTGACATTTACCATAAACTGATAATAACTTTTAGCCAGGTTTTTAAAATTGTATCAGAAGTACATAATACATTCAGAAATCTTTTGTTTTTTGACAAGAATTAGAAATTTACAGTTTTAGTGAATATATGGGATAGATAGGAGCCATACTACCTCCTTCTTGGCTTCTCACTCTGGGAATATGCAGTAAGTAGAAATTCTATATATTTGCTGTGCTAAAACAATTCTTAACTCTAGGAAGTGTGAGTCTAAAATTTACAAACACGTACACCTGCAATCCCAGCAGTTGGGAGGCTGAGGCAGAAGGGTTGCTTTTGAGTTAGCCTGAACTGCATAGTGAAACCCTGTCAAAAGGACAAAAAATATTTTAAAATTAAAAGAATAAAACAACTTACAACTGCTCATTTTTTTCTTTTTGGGACAGGGTCTCACTATGCAGTTCAGGGTCACCTTCAGCTCACTTTGTAGCCCATACTGGTCTCAAATTTACAGTGATTCTCCTGTCTCAGCCTCCCAAGTGCTAGGATTATAGGTGTACACCACCACACCTGGCTGCAATTGCTTAATTCTTTCTAGGGTAGTGAAAAAAAGAAATTAATATTATTTAAAAATGCTTACTGGAAATGGTTAAACTGATTTGTACAGGTAAGGTTTCATAAGCAGACACAAAAATAATAATTCTGATTCGACTTCCTTCTGTGTAGAAAAGTTAAATCAGAATCAGGTAGCATTTTATTGTCTCTGTTAATATTTTGAAGAAAGTAGTTGGGTATTGAGCAAAAGTTGCTTTACAAGCAGTTTCATTTTTATTTTTTAAATTATTTATTAATTAATTAATATCGGGATTGAACTCAGGACCTTATGCTTGTCCGGCAGGCACTTACGCTGCTGAGCTGATTAAATTCCCAGCCCAAATGGTTGGAGCAGTACTAACCTTATGGTATGTTAGTGTAGCATTTCTGGCTACTAGGTTGTTACTCTTTAAATCCTGTAAAGGTGGAAACATTTCTGGTTCCTATGAAAACTCCAAATTGCTCAGTGAGGTGTTGGTGATTATCTTCTTTGTGTGAGACATGTTGGTGTGTATCATGGGAATTAAAGTATAAAACACAGTTTTTGTGAACCTGTGTAAATAAAACCAAAATATATATGTTATATAGAAAGATTCTCTATTTCTAACTATTTGCTCACTTTTGTATTATAAAGTATACATTTGGTTAGGATGTAACATTTTTAGCATTAAAAACAAAAACTTGAATTATCTAATCGAGTGACATCACCTAGCAAGCATTAGGTTTTTAGAAAACATCATTTAGTAAAATCTTAACTGTATTTAATATGTCATACCTTGAACGTATTTGTAACTTAATTGGAATATTTCCCGGAAGACTTTAGACAAGCCCTGTACTGCACATTCTTCATTGAACTGTGTATTTGTTCAATTTGAGCCAATAGAAATGATAGAAAAAGTGTCAAGGGTTAAAATTTTTAGGTCATTGCAAAATTATTTTAAATATAAAAACTTGGATTATTGTACCTATGCAAACGTTTACACTCATCTTTTTTTTTTTACATTTGCTTTCTTAGAAGTCTTATTTATGTATTCAGAACAAGGTCTCATTGTGTAGTTCAGGCTGGCCTGGAACTTGCAGCCATTCTGCCTCAATGAGCATCCCAAGTGCCAGGATTACAGGCATGTGCCACCATGTCCAGCTAAAAGCTGTATATTTTAAATTGACAAAAATGTTTATATGCTTATAATTTTAAACTTGCTTAAAAATAGCTATACTTTAGACTGGCTAAATGAAGCTAACTAACAGGCACACATATCATTTTTGTGATAACACTTAAGATCTGCTTTAGTAATTAAGAGATATCTAAGTGTAGTCACCACATTTACAGTAGATCTGCTGAATTTGTTTCTTCTAACAGTACTCCTCATACACACCCCTTCATGGGGGTGGGGATTAACTCAGGGCCTCACATTCCTATCCCCTCCCCTCCCTCTCTGTTTTCTTTTGAGACAGGGTTTGACTGAGTTACTAGGTTGCCCAGGATGGGCTTGAACTTGCTGATCCTCCTGCCTCAGTCTTCCAGGGTGCTGGGATTACAGGTGTGTGCCACGACACCTGACTGCTGTTTGCTTACATAATTTTAATAGAAACCATTTAGAAGACATTTATTGTAGTTTTCTAGTTAACCCATTTGAGTTGGTGATTTTTCATTGTTTAAATTATTCAGGGTATGATGATCATTATCAGAAAATATATATTGTATGTAATGGTTTAGAATTTTAGAAGAATTTAAATATTCTTGGTTAAGTAAATATACAACTAATTTCTAGGTTTTTTTCTTTTTTCTGTTTAACTTTATTTTGTTAGTATATATTTGTGATACATAATGAATGCATTCATTGTGGAAGTTAATGCATATACATATTGCATTTGGATCTTTTTACTTTCCCTTCCCCTTTCCTCCTTTTCCTCTCCCTCCACCCATATGTCTCCTTTCTTTTTTTTTTTTTTTTTTTTTGTCTTTCTCCTTTTTATTGGTGCCGGGTATCAAACTCGTGACTGCCTGCTTGCAAGGCAGGCGCTGATGCTGCTGAGCTAATATGTCTCTTTTCTAATCTGCAAAAGGCCTACCTGCCTGTTCTGTATCATCATTTATTTTGTTTTATGAATGATTTATACTTTGTGTTTTTCACATAAGACTTTTAGTGTATTAATTTATTTTTGAATTAAATGTGATTCTTATATGCAGCATATCATTGGATCTTGCTTCCTGATCCATTCTTCTAGTTTATATCTTTTGATTGGTGAATCAAGACCATTTACATTGATAGTTATGACTGATATGTTTTGACTTATCCTTGTCATGTTACTTTCCTGTTCTCCCCTCTAATTACTTGCCTTGCCTGGTAGATTCATTCTTTTGGGCTTCATGGAATTACAGTCCTGGTTATCTTTTTCTAGTCCATCAGATCATTTTGGAGTGCAGGTTTGGTGGTCATGAATTTCTACAGGTGTTCTTTGTTATGGAAGTATCTTATTTCTTCATCAATTTTGAAAGATAGTTTTTCAGGGTGCATTAGTCTGGGTTGGAGGTTATTTTCTTTAAGGGCTTAAAATACTTCACTCTAAACTGTTCATATGGGTTTGTGTTGAGAAGTCTATTGTGATTCTGATGATATTTCCTTTACAGGTAATTTGTTTCTTTTCTCTGATAGCTTTTAATATTCTATTCTTGTGTTGAATTTCTAGAATCTTGACTGTTACATGCCATGGTGTAGACTTTATTTATTTATTTTTTTGAATCATGACTAAGTGGAGTTCTGTATGCCACACTTACCTGTACGTCAAACTCTTTCACTTCTTGGAAATTTTTCTGCCATTGCTTATATGAATAGGTTTTGTTATGTTGTGTGCACTGTTTCCTGCTTTCTCATTGACTCAGCTCAATTGTATATTATTCTTTGCTTTTGTCTAGCAGCCATTGGATTAATCTTTTGTGGTCTCTTGCTTTTTTTTTAAGGCATCTTTCTTTTCATGATTGCTGACTGGAATCCTGTCCTCTATACCTGATATTCTGTCCTCACATTGGTTCATTCTGCTATGTATACTTTCAATGGAATTTTTATCTGTTTGAATAATCTGTACCATTGAAATGTACCATTTCTTTCCTAGGTTGGACATTCATGGTTTCCATCATTTACCTAAGCTCTTTTATTTTTTAAAAATACGTATCTGCTCTAGAGTCACTGAATGTGTCTTTTTATTATGGTCACTGTCTCTGTAGTTATCTGAGAATTTGTTTTTTCTTTTCTCTATTTGTCTTTCTTTGTCTGTCTATCTGTTTTGTTACTTTGACAGTCTCGTTGTGTGCTTCAGACTGGCCTTGAAGACACTGTGTGGCTCAGGCTTATCTAGAACTGGGGCAGTACTCATGGCATAGCCTCTGTGGTGCTGGAACTACAGATGGGCACCACCACACCCAGCCTCTGAGAAATTATTCCCGATTTGATTTTTTTCTAGAGCCTTCTCATGTGCTTTGTTACTTAAGCTGTTACCACTTCAGAGAGTCCAGGTGGGTGGCTTTTGAATTGTTCTACTCATTGCCCCCTGGGTTTGCCTTTGGTGAGCTGTAAGTCTGGGTTGTATCTTGTGTAGCCCTTGGAGTGTAAGACTAATTTTGTTATTAAGGCATATAGACGTATATCTGTCAGACCCATGTTTATTCTTTTTTTTTTTTTTTGTACCGGGAATCAAACTCACGACCTTGTGCTTGCCTGGCAGGTGCTTACGCCACTGAGCTAAATCCCCGGAACCATGTTTGTTTATTTTTTTAAATTTTATTTCAAGAGGAAAAAAAAGCAAAACAAAAAAGGGTAGAAATAATAAATAATTTTTAAAAATAGTAAGAAATCACTAGTTGATAAATTACATATTGTCTTCTTAGAAATAGTTGTTCAAGTTGCAAAATTATTTTTTAAATTTTTTTATTTTAAAGAGATTAAGACAAAAGAGGACAGAACAAAGAAGATCAGAACAGAACAATGTAAGCAACACAGCACTTCAACACAAGACAACCCGATATTAACAGTAGCTACCATAATGTCTCTTTCTTTGAAATAGTTGAGCATATCTTCACATACAATAGTATCAAACATAACAAAATAGTATAAAAGCATTCAAGAGAATGAAAGTATTACAGGGCATTCAGAACCAAATAACTGAAGAAGAACAGTGGCTGCTATATTGTCCCATTTTCCATAAAAATTTTGTTTATACTATCACACATAATAAAATCAATAAGATACAACATGATACAACCAATGGAAACAGAAGAACAAAAG